TTTGTTTTATTTTGGTTTTTGGCCATTGAGTTGAATGAGTTTTTATTTTATTTTTTATTATTTTTAAAATTTTTAAAAAGATTTTATTTATTTGACAGAGATGGAGATCACAAGTAGGCAGAGAGGGAGGCAGAGAGAGAGGGGGAAGAAAGCTCCCTGCTGAGCAGGGAGCCCGATGTAGGGCGATCCCAGGACCCTGAGATCATGAACTGAGCCGAAGGCAGATGCTTAACCTACTGAGCCACCCAGGTGCCCCCCGAATAAGTTTTTTATATATTTTGGATATATGATTTGCAAATACTTTCATTCAGTAAGTTGATTTTCATTTTGTTGATTGTTTCATTTGTTGTACAAAAGCTTTTTAGTTGGATATACTCTGCTATTGTGTTTTTGCTTTTGTTCCTTATGCTTTTGGTGTCATATCCAAAAAATCATTGCCAAGCCAATGTCAAGGAATTTTTCCGTGGAGAAAATTTCTTTTCTTCCTGGAGACTTGTATTTTTAGGTCTCATGTTTAAATCCTTAATCCATTCTGTGTTAATTTTTGTAAGTGATATAAGAAAGGGGTCCAGTTTCATTCTTTTGCATGTGAATATTGTTTTCCCAGTGCCATTTATTAGACAGACTATCCTTTCCCAATGAGTAGTTTTGGCTTTCTTGTCAAATATTTATTGTATATACATTGTATATATATTGCATATATTATTTGTTTTTTAATTAATTAATTAATTTATTATTAATTAATTTTTTATTTTAGTATAGTTGACACACAGTGTTACATTAGTTTCAAGTGTATATATAGTTATTCAGCATCTCTATATATTAAGCTGTGCTCCAACAAGTGTAGTTACCATCTGTCACCATACAACATTATTAAAATATCATTAACTATATTCCCTCTGATGTACCTTTGTTCTCATGACTTACTCAATCCATAACTGGAAAGCTGTATTCCCACTCCCATTCACCCATTTTGCCCCTCCCTCCCATCCCTTTATCTCTGGCAACCATCAGCTTGTTGCCTGTATTTATAGATCTGATTCTGTTTTATAGAATCTATTAATTTCTGAGCTCTTGATGTTGTTCAGTTGGTATATGTGCTTGTTTTCATGCCAGTACCATAATGTTTTGATTACCATAGCTTTGTTACATAATTTGAAATCAGGAAGTGTGATGCCTTCAGCTTTGTTCTTTCTTAGGATTGCTTTGGGTATTGGAGAGAGAACTTGTGGTTCTACAAGAATTTGAGGATTTTTTTTTTCTATTTCTGTGAAAACCACTATTCAAAAAAAAAGAAAGATAAGCTCCCTAGTCTGTAATTGTAAGTGAATATGAGTTTCAACACCTCAGATTCTCTGTTGCTTCACATAAGACCATGGACCTCTTATAGATTCCTGTGCTCAAACTTATCCTTATGAGACGTAATCTTTAAGTTGGGACTTCAAAATCTGTAGAAACTGTGTCTCAACCCTACTGTTATAACAGAAAGAGCCCTATTGCTGCTAATTTATTCATTCATGAAACAAATCTTTGCTGACATCTACAAGGCCTTATGCTCAACCTTGGGAATTCAATGATGAATAGAAAAGATAAAATCCCTGTTCTCACAGAGCCTACAAATTCTATTAAGAGTAATAGACTATAAATAAGCAAATAAATAAATGAGTATGTAATTCCAAGTTATGCTATGTGCTGTGCCAATGTCCTCTAGCTGAAGACCACTGGAAATATACTCACATGTAGTTGGGTTTATTGGTATAGGAGATCTCATTCTTTGGGAAGTCATGTGGCTTCTCAATAAGGGGATTTAAGTAGGGGATTTTATAGGACTTGAGCTTGTGGTAAATGCTTTTGGGGAATATTCCAGAAGTATGGTTTTGCTCTGGTCTGGGTGTTTTCAGAACATGAAGGCAATTCTGGAAAAAAGAAGAAGAAGAAGAAGAAGACGACGACAGAAGAAGAGGAAGAAGAAAAAGAAGAAGAAGAAGAAGAAGAAGAAGAAGAAGAAGAAGAAGAAGAA